TGCAATGCCGATCCTGACAAATTCCCTAGCATCTGATGAAGCAGATGCATGATGCAGCTGGAAGCAAGGTTGTCTGGGGAGAAAGGCACAGCTATCTCGTGTTAGCAGCACTGCTTGACGCTTTCTCTCTGGAGGGAAATGAAACAATAGCCTCTCTTGAAGCGGGAGCAGGAGGCAGATTCTGCCTCCCAAAGCTGCAGCATGCCGAGAATATAATTGTTAAAAACCTCCTCCTGGTGAAAATAGTAATTCAGAATGGACATTAACACGGTACAAGTATCCTTGGCTTCTAGCTTCCAAAACCAAATTAAGATAAGCGCAGGAGCGGAAGTGAACCCAACACAGAATAAGGCAAGGTTTTAAAAACAATCAGCAAAACACTGGAACGACTGCATTCAAATTCGGCGACACACCCACAGGAAAAAGCACTGCCTGACATTTGCCCTCTTAATCTGAGGCTCAGTCAGCTGATGTCAGGAATGCATCTAAAATATTACATGGGATTGAGTCAACCACCTGCCTCTGGGGTAGGGAACTCCACAACCAAGTCATGCTTCAGATACTTCTCATGACCTTAATTTCACTTGTGTTGGTGGTGGGGGATTAAAGATCCACTTTTATTTGAGAAATCTAGGGAGATCAGTGAATTACGTAGCTCCAAGGAGTTTTCTACAATATTTAACTCGATTCTGTGGCACCAGCTATCATTTCTGTAACAAGAAAGACTTGTTTTTAAGAAATACTACTATGAAACTGCAAACATTCAGCTTTGTATAACACCAGTGCAGTTCTTTTTGCCTGGATCTCAAGTGGATCAAAACTGGTAGTCAGTACCCAGTACCTAAATGGATTTAAACCAATATAATGAAGCACAAAACTGCACGCCCTGCACACAGCCCTGCAACCAGCCCCGGAAAGCTGATAAAACCTGATACACCAGAGCGGCTTCTGCCACTGCTGCCTCCTACCTGGCTCACACAGGAGCCCGCCCCAGACGAAGGGGACAACTCAACTCTGGCCACGCGGTGAAGAGTAACTGAGATGTTTGCCTACCAGGCACTAGAGCTCAACACCCTCCGTCAGATCCCAGGCGGGGGGCTGGAAATGCAGCTCTCGATTCCTGCACGAAGAGTCCCCGTGCAGCCTTACGAGTCACCACGGTGCTACGAGAGGGGATACGTTACCGCACGGCCCCGCCGCGGCG